GTTACTTCATTAATTTTGCTACTACTGCAATTTTGCTACTACTATAAATCATCATGTAAACATCTGATATGCAGGATGTATTTTCATTGTTACAAATTGAACATAATTAAAGCATAGTGATTCATGTAATTATATATTGTGAAATATTTGTTATTAATGACAAATCAATGCAATTTTGCCATGAAGCCTGGTGTAGCATAGGTAACAGTCTTCAAACCTGGAACTCGTATGTGGGCATATCTGCATGGGGGGGACCCACCTGGAAATGGATAGAGGAGCAGTGTCTTGGTTCCTAAGACCATCAGAAATATGTGCTTTCTGATGGTCTTAGGCGATCCCTGTGAAAGGGTCGTTCGACCCCCCAAAGAGATCTTGACCCACAGGTTGAAAACTGCTGTGTTGAGCCCCCTATGAGCCTTTCAAAAGCCCATCACTTGTATATTAGATTTCTATCACCACTGTAATAAATTACCAAAAAGTATTAGCTCACAATTCTCTTTGTTGCTTGCCTACGTCATCGGCTTTCATCAAAAGGACCAATTGATGAAAAGTTAGGAATTGGCAGGGCTGTGTACCTTTCAGGAGGCTCTGGAGAAGAGTCCATTTCTAATCTCATTGAAGCTGTTGACAGAATCCTATTCTTTACAGTTGTTGGAATGAGATGTTTATGTCCTGCCTAGTTTCAGCTTAAAGCTGCACCTCACTCTTAAAGTGCCTTGTACTGAGACTTTCCATCTCCGAGACAGTAGCCGTGAATGGGATCCTTCCATCCCTTGGAATCTTTGTCTTCTTCCATATTTCACTTCTGCTTTCAACTAGAGAAAGTGTTGGGTTTTTTAAAGGCTCTTATAAACACACTAAACACACTAAAGTCATCCAGGATAATATCCTCAATTTGAGGTTCTTGCCTGAATTTATGGAAATCCTCTTTTGTTATATGATGTAGCCTATTAGCAGGTTCCAGGATTGGACAATAATAGGAGGGCCTTCTATTTACCACCTGTCTGGGCTCCAGCAATTTTCCCTTCTCTCTTCTGCATCACTAATTTTTTCTCTCCACCAGATCTTTTTCATCAGGATTCAATCCAACTGCTAATGTTTCTCTCATGTTAAACAAACAAACCCCCCAAAACCTAACTCTTTCTTGATTATATTCTCCCTTCTAATGATGAGCCCACTTTTCTGTTCTCTAAGGAGCGGCGGTCATGTAGTGAGTCACACGTTGGGCTGATAACCAGAAGGTCGGCAGTTTGAACCCATCAGCTGCTCTGAGGAAGTAAGACAGAGCTCTCTGCTCCTGTAAAGATTGACAGCCTCAGAAACCCAAAGGGGCAGTTACACACTCTTTTGTAGGCTTGTTGTGAGTAGAAATTGATGAGATGGCAGTGGGGTTTTTGGTCTGTTCTCTTTAGAGGAAAATATATACAAAGTATTGCCTATACTTTCTAGCTCTTGTCCTTCTCTTATATTCTCTTGAGCTTTAACTCTGTCTTCTGTATTGAACATGCTGTTGGCAGTCCATTCCACGTCCAAGAGCCAATTGTCAACCTTTATTACCTTGAATTTTACACAGATGACAATTGAAATAATGTGTTTGTCTTTCAGCATACTCTGTTTCTTTTTTCCATGCATGAGAAAGACTTAGCTGTCTCCTGGACTAGTTCTTTTACACTTCCTAGCTTCTTCATATTAAACGTTCTGGTGCTTTACTAACTAAACACATTACGTTTATAATTTCATCACATTTAAAATTAGCCTCATGACTTTAAAAATCATTCATATACAATCACTTCTAGATTATCTTCACAGTCCAGAACTAACACCTGAACTTCAGTTATGTATATTCAAATATCTACTCAACCTTTCTGTGTTGTTATCTTAAAGATGGCGTTAATATAGTCAATGTCAAATTCCTTTCCTCCCAAAGACTGAGTCCTCTCACTTTCTCTTGGTTAATTTCTTCCTTTCTTTCTTTCCTTTTTTGGACATTACAAAAAATAATTTTGTTGAAAGCTCTTACAGATATTATAACAATCCATAATTCAATTAGACCAAGCATAATTGTACAATTACTGCCACCATCATTTTCAATACATTTTATTTATTCTTGAACTCTTTGATATCAACTCCCCTTTACCCTCTCCTTCCCCTATTTCAATTTATGGTGCCTTTTTGAGTTGATAGGATCAAATTTTGAGAGAGGCTAATTTACCCATTTCTCTCTCTTAGTACCTGATCCATTTGGATACAAATCCTGTTGTCTCTAACATTAAAAGACCATCAGAAGCGAATCACTGTTCATCATTTCCAACAAGCCCACTTGGGTCAAGACCCCCATCATCTCTTGCTTGTTTCATTGCAATGTCCCCCTTTCCACACAGAATTCCACACAGACACTAGAGTGATCTTATTAAACTGTGAATCAGATCACTTCATCTCTCTACTTATATCCCCACTTCACTGATTAAAATCCAAATCTTTGCAATGACTAAAAAGTCCCTTCTTGCCTTCTGCTTCTTCTAGATCCAAAGCCATGTCTTACTAGTGAACAGCCATATTCTCCCTTAATAGATGATCTGCTTGATGTTTGCTTGGTCTGTAAAGCTCCTCCCTGTACCCTTCCCTCACCCCCTTCAAGGTTGTGCCCCGACATCATCTTTGCAGGGATGCATTATGTGCACATTCTACTTACATTTGTCAAGCCCATCTGACCAATCATACTCTCCCATATTTTTTTCTCCAAACTATTGCCACCAATAGATATACTTTTCATTTACTTTTCTATTTGGTCCCTATGCGTTAAAACATAAGTTCTTAAATAAAGGTAAGGAGTTTCGTTTTGTTTCCTTTTTCATTGCTTTGTCTCCATCGATGCTTGGTGCAGGGTGCCCAATGACTATATCTTTGCTTTGTTGAATTCTTTCCGGTACCATTCTTTTTATCACCCAAGGCCGGGTTCTGGTCTCAGACTTTTTCATCTCACTAAATGTCAAGTCTGTGCTAATTTCCTCCATCTGGGAACCTTGAAATTCTTCTTGACTCCTCTCTTTCTATCACATCTCACAACTTCACATCCTGGCAATCATATCTGCACATGCGTTCACACATGCACCCAGAACTTGGACCTCCTCCACAGCTTTCACCCAAGTTCAAGCACAATGGATTCATTATTGCTGTCCTTGCTTCTACCCTTGCTCCCTAGAGTCTATCTTCCAAGAGAAGAACCAGAGAAGTTATTCTAATCGTGCGCATTTCTCAGCTAGAAGCCCTCTGAAAGCTTTCCCACCGTGGAACACAGTCCAAATAGTGTACATGCCTGACCAGACACTTCCTCACCTTGTCCCAGACGCACCTCTGAGCTCATGTATTCTTTGCTGATTAGCTTCCAGTCACTCGATTTCCCTTTTGGCTCCTTAAATATATCAAGTGTTCACCTGGGCTTTTAGGGCCTTTATACTATTTCCTCTGCTTAAAAGGCAGGAAGCTCATGACCCGCTTCTTCCTTTCATTCAGGTCTCTGCTCAGAGTTACTTTATCAGAATGCTCCCTTAACCACCCTACCTAAAATAACACACACACACACACACACACACACACACATTCCTCTGTCCACCTATTCTTCTTTATTTTAAAGCCCTTCTTATATATTATGCATGTTCTTATTTCCATGGCCCATCTTTGCCATCCTGGCATGTAAACGCCAGGAGAGCAGACACTATCTGTTTTATTTACCACTCTTTCAACACCCAAGGCGAAACCCCACCCACGCACTATTTCTTAATGTCTAAATAAAAATATCTTCTTTCTCAGAGTCAAGGACTCTGGTCCTTCTGGAGTGTTGTGCCTACCCCTACAACATTTTCTGGTGACCAGCGTCATGGGGGAGTCCGACTGACCAGCTGGAGACACTGGCTTCGCCGAGTTTGGGTGATGGGGGGTTAGGGAGGAGACTATGCGATCCATAGATACGAGAAGGAAATTTCCCAAAAGCAAATGGGAGGTTGTTGGCAGACTGTGAGGTGGGGATACACAGGGGAGGTAGAAGCAACAGATGGTCACCACAGAGATTTTTTCCAGAGTGGGAAGAGAAGCAGGGATAGGTTGGGGTCCCTGGTAGAGAAAGTACCTCTAAATAACTGTATCTTGGTACAGTTTGGGGGAGGACACCCTGATACCACAGGCATGCCTGCCCGCCACCGCTGGGCACAACTCTCTTGAATGACTCCCTGTGGGGAGTTGCAGAAGGGATCTCCCTTGCATGGAAAATCCTGGGCTTTGCTGCAGGAGCTGGAGGAAAAGTCAGGGAAGCAGAGACCAGCTGCATAAACTGATACGTGGTTTCTATTTTCCACCGCACATAATACTGCTCGGTAGCTCATTTGCACAATTCTGCGTCCCTGGCTATCAAGATGAATTAACGACTCATTTTTAGGCGGGGGGTGGGGGTGTCATGAATTTAGCTCAAAACCTAAGTAACAGCTGTGAAGTGGGCACATGTACATACACACATATGCAAAGACTATAAATCTTGCTGCTATTATTTAGTTCAGGGTTTTATGTTGGTGTTCTGGTTTGGGGGTTGAAAAAAAATTTTTTTCTCTTTCTATACATCCTGTAAGGTCTTAGAGAAAAAAATAAAAATATAAATTAAATTTTTTTAAAAATTTAAATGCATTCCTGACTATAGAAAATGTTTTTTGGGTTCTCCGGAGAGTGGGGTGCCCAGGCTAACCACAGGCACACATTCTTCCCATAGTACAGTACTTTAAAATTAATAGCACATGCAGGGGAAAACTGAATCCTTTGACGTCACTCCTGAAATGAGGAAACATAAACAGAAAAGGCTCCACTCCAGTTAAGCTGCCAAAGTTGAAGCCGATTGGACTCTGCTTTCCTTGCCTCTGGCAACTGACAGCGCGCCCCAGCCGCCTCCCGGCCGGCTGCCCGCCCGCCCGCCCGCTCCACTGAGCCACTCGGCCAGGTCTGGGCACTGCAGCGCTCGCTCGGCGCGGTCCCAGCCTGGTCTGCGGGGGAGGCGAGGGACTCTCCCGCAGAACCTTCCACCTTCCTCCTCGATCCCTCGCTCGGTGCGCCCCTGGCTCTTTTTTTTTTTTTCCGCCTTAATTGTATTCCTAATCCTGGATGAAGTTGCTGGATTCTGCAGCACAAGTCTTCATGAACGAGCAGCACCGCTCAGAGATTCCACGGCACTCGGAGGTCACAGAGCAGCCGCTATGGTTAAATGTCTTGTTTAATGGTTGAGGTAGGTACTTACACATTTCAGCGGCAAGGTAATTGTCGCTTTCCAGAAGGGAGCCGCAGAGCGAGGGCAGGGTTTTGATTTGAAATGAACCTGTTCATAGACAGACAGATATCCATTATTATTTTTTTCTTTTTGGTCTGTGATTGTTACTACAGCAACCAGCTTTTGAATTTCCTTCCTTTTTTCTAGGCGAACTGACTAAAGGCGATCGCTTAGCCTGTCTTAACCGTTTGGAGACAACAGGGTTTCATTTCAGCCGGTGTAATGAGAGCTTCTGAGATTTCAGCATGGACGCAGCCCTGGCTGGGCAGGGCTTCTCAATTTTATTTATGTACTTTTATGCACGCGACATGGGTCCTCCAACACACATGTTGAGATGGGTCCTTCTGTTCTGTTGTTGCTGTTGCAACAGCAGAGAAACGATGTTGGAAAGGGGATTAGTGAGGGCTGTGATCCAGAACAAAACCTGGTCGCTGGTTGTTCTTGTTATTGTTGTTGCTTTTCCCTGGAGTTCGTCATGTTGGTTGTTATCAAACTTCAATATGGAAAAATATAAATACAAATATATTAGAAAGGGGGCTGTGGGGGCTGTGAGGGATAGAAGCTGGTAATAAGACTATTGTAGCTCACAGACCAACCTCTCAAAAGTGTGTCATAAGAAGGAATGATTGAGGGAAAACTCACCCTGTTTCATTGAGAAAAATAAAAAGTCCCAGATTTAGAAGCTGACAGAGGAAATGCAGGAACTGATATATATAAAGATATATAGATATAGATATCATTTGTTTGTTTTTACAAATGAAAATAGTTCTTTCCTTCCACTGTACATTTGCCAGTGATCTTTTTCTTTAAGAGTTGAATGTAGAGTAAGACATTCACTTAGTGACTTAAGTCAAGGGGCCTCAGGGCTCATTAATGATCTCTAGAGTCTGTACTTCAGAGTGGCGATTGCAGTGTTGAAACCAACCTCTTTGCCGAGGAAAGAAGGCGCATGCATGTAGATACAGTAACCATTCAGTGCTGCAGGAAGCAGGGCAGTTCTGCCCAGCGCTAACGCTGCCACGTGATTATGATGTATGGAAAGGGACTCTTGCCTAAAACGTTCCCTACCCCAAGAATGACTCTCTGTACAAGTCAATCAAGTGACAGGTGGCTAGTGTGCATGCATTTCCTGATCACTTTTCTAGAAGTCATACAATCACAACTAAGGGTGATTGAAAACCATTACTCTGTTGCCCAGATAGCTTACTTGCTGCTTTTCAAGTTTCCTGTCTCAACCCTGAGAACCAGAGATCTTGAAAACTGGGTCCGTTTCACCGTGCAATCAAGGAAGGTATCAAACATGTGTTGCATTCCAAAGGGTTAACAAAATTGTGGAAGACTAGCGTGTACCAAGTTAGGAACTGCAAAAATATTAGCTCTGAAACGCAGAGGGTGTGCTGTGAATGGGCAATTGCTTTTCCGCAGCGCCTAGCGGGGAAACAAGGGCTTGTGTGTTGCGAGGCATGGCTGCAGCGCTTCCATTTCCTCTGCTTTATCTTTTATTGCGGACTGGCAAAACAAAGACGGTGTCAGTAGTTACGTCTTGATTGGCATCTTTCTGTTTAAAAAAAAATGAAGTTGCTTTTTGTCTTAAGTAGAAGCACAAAGTTCACTGTTTGCAACTTCAAAACCTGTATCTTTCTCTTTATAAAGATTTTGGCACGACACCCGAAACTCTGCTTTCAGAACATCCTTACTCAATTGGACAACAAGAAACAAAACCAATGGTGATTATATGTCTACAAATGAACTGGGAGGAACTTTTTTTTTTTCCCACCAAATCAAGTTACTTAGGGTAAGGGTGGAAAAATCCAAGTGGCGTCAGGGACAGACATAAATTTAGGGGAAATAATTACAGCCATTGCATCTTCTCACTCCCTACATGATGTCCCTCACAAAGCCGCCCTTGTCAGTTCTCCATCAATCCCTCGTCAAAATGTTTCAGATTGCACTAGTCTTCATCTACAGTGCAGATGTTACATAATTTCAAACATTTACAATCTTGGCTTGGAAGCAGAGCTTGGGGGTCAGTCCAGCCCTAGAATATAATCTAGAAACCAACACATCAGTGGTCCAGAGGAGGGCATGCCAAACGTTGACCTGTGTTATTTCAGCCAAAGAATGTCTGACTGCAAACAGATGCGAATACAAAATGAGCAGATTTTCTCAGAGTGGGAATGGGCCACCTGGAAAATGCCTCCGCCTAGTAATTAATCTTCCAAAGTCTAATTTGTTGTTAGCCAGCCTCAAATCACAGGGGAAGTTGCTTGTTGACACTCAGAACATAGTGTTGGAAGGAATTTATTAAGTGGTGAACTAATCCAAGCGAGACTGAAAGGGATCCGTTATATTAAAGAGCACTGTCCAAATTCAGCATCAGAACAGAATTTCAAACAGAATTAACATCTCGGATGTTAACGGGTATTCTAAGTAGCTCCACTTGCCTTGCTGGGGCCAGGTATCTCAACAGAGGGCCCTCCATATTCAGAAATCCACACCCGACGAATCCACCTTCCTATGGATTCAGCGCACGTACCCAAAGAGAAGTCCCCAAACAAGTGTGGGCTCCCTTTTAAGAGGTATATCTGGCTGAGGACAGAGGAAAGTGGAATTTGGGGAGTTACTGGGTCCCTCGCACAGTGATGAGACCATCCTTCAGCAGCATGTTCCTACGGTGGTTGCCTCATTTCTTCTCCAAATTCACCTTCAGGTGCACACTTCTATCGTCTGCATGGGAGGCCCCAGTGACTCAACACTGTTGACTTCTACAGACATCACAGTTGCTTCTGTCAACTTCTCTACATCCCTCTGTGAAACGGTGTCTGCTCGATAAACTGGCAGTATTTAAAGCAGTTGAAGGAATCTTGGTGGTGTAGTGGGTTACATGTTGAACTGCTAACTGCAAGGTCAGCAGTTCAAATCCACCAGCCATTCCCCAAGAGAAAGATGAGGTTTTCTGTTCCCATCAAGCCTCAGTAATCCCAATAGGCAGTTCTACTCTGTCTGTCAGAGTCCCTAGAAGTCAGACAGGACTCTAGGACAATGGGCGAAAAGAAGTTGATGACCGGGAGAAATGGGGTGGGAAGGAGGGAAAAGGGGATCTATAAATCCAAACTTATGGAATTTCCATTATGTTTCAGGCATTGTTATTGATTTAAAATGAAAATGTGCTACCATTTTAGTGTGAAGTCAAGGTGTTTATGCTTCTCTACTTTTGCAAAAGTCATCTAGATAGCTCAGAGGTTGTTGGTGTGGTGTGTATTTTTTAAAGCAGGAGACAGAGCAAGGGACCGGGGTCAGCATTGTCACTGAGAGGCGGACTAGCTGGATGACTTGAGCCATTCACTTACTCTTGACCTTGGCACTTCATTTGTAAAAGCAATTGGCTGCATTGGATTATTCCTGACATCCTTTTTAGATGTAACTTTTCCTAGTGTTCTTGCTCTCTATTTGGGTTGTTTTTTTAATTCTAATTACCTATAAACATGAACCTATTAAATTTGGATTCATAAAACATTACTGCATATTTTCTGCAGTCCAAACTTGTCTGTTGGGTATGAGTGGAAAAGATAGGTATGATTCTCACCTTCCAGTAGTTCATATTCTGGTAGAAGTCATGAACAAATTAGTAGAGTCTGTGCAGACAGATAAAAGAATAAAGAAGGAGAAGTTTAGAAGAGAGGGTGATGAAGGAAGACTCCATCGAAGAGATGATCTTAAGCTACTGGAAAGTTAAGGACAAAACTAAATCTTCCGTGTATCTTTGTAGATAATGATGATGGTGGGGTGGTGATAATCATTTGAGGACAATGTAGTGCTTTTGATGTAAAATACTTGTAATGGTGTTCCTCCTCCCATTTCACAATGGTGCTGTTGGGTAAGCATTGGACTATGAACCTCAGGCCCAGCAGTTCAAACCCACCAGCCTCTTCCTGGGAGAAAGATGAGGCTATTTGCTCCCATAAAGATATACAGCCTCAGAAACCCTGGATCTATGGATCAGAATAGATTCGATGGCAATGTTTGTTTGTTTTCCAGGCTTTTAAAAATGGTGTTCTTAAGAATATATAATGTTAGAGAGAATTTAAATGTTGCCAGATGAGGAGTGGGGTGGGGGTGGGGGGGAAACTACTTACAGCACTGAGATAGCCATTTACATCAGTGCATTGGCATCTTCTTTATCATTTGCATTTATTCCCCCTAAGAATTAAAGTGAGAGTTCTTAAAGAGCTTGGAAAGCAACCCCTGATCCCAGGAGGCATCTGGCACACGCAAGGAATGCTCCCAAGCTGTGATGGGCTCGAACACTGGCACACGATGATGTCATGGGAAATGCTCTTGCCGAGTGTCAGGAAACCTGAAATAGTGGCTCCGAGCATCCAGAAAATACCTGTTGGAGTTACGGGACATTTCTTAAAGGATCGAGGCTTCCAATTTTTCATCTTTAAAATGAAAATGTTGAAATACTTCTAGGATGCTTTTTCTTTCTTTCCAAGTTTTACCGCTTACTCCACTAGGGTTAATATTTCGATATTAGCATGCACTGATGTTAGCTCTTCCATTTGTCCCCTCCCTATCAGCCCCATTTCTCTTTATAGTTTGCCTTGACTGGGACACACAGATTTACATACGTTCACCCTCCAGATTGCTCATTGCCAAGAAAAACGAAAATCCAAGCAAGACCTTGGGCTTTGGGGAAATTCTGGTCCCCCCAACCTTGGCCTGCTTCCCTCCCACTAGGCTGATGTGCAGCTCAGGCTGCAGTATTCCTCGAGAGAGAAAGCGGGAATGTTTTTGTGTTTACTGTAACCAGGGACTTGACGAGGCAGATGTGTTTTTCTTAAATGCCAATCACTGTCCTAGATTTTTTATATTATTTTACTGAACGTCTTCTCAACTCTAATTTTAGTTCCTTTGATGAAGAATGATTGAAAATCTGTTGGTAGCTAACTTGAGGA